CGTCTACGTCTCTCTCTCTCTCTCTCTACTCTCGCGCTCTCTCTCTCTCTCGCTCTCTCTCTCTCTCTCACTCTATTATTATATTATGATTATTATTGATGTATTATTGATATATATATATATATATATATATATTGATGTATTATTGATATATTGATGTATTATTGATATATTGATGTAGTCATGAGATTTCACTGTACACTACTATATATACTAATCCTCCTCCGCCGCTGCCGCTACAGGTGCAGAACAGTAAGGGTCAGAACGGCTTCGTCCCGTCCAACTACGTGAAGCGCGAGAAACCGCAGAAACCGTCGCTCCTCGACAACCTCAAGAAGAAGGTGAAGCATCGCAAGAGCAGCGACTCGAAGACTCCTCCGTCGCCTGGCTACGTCGACGTCGATGTCGACTCGCGCGACTCGCAGGACGACCTTCTCTACGATCACGCCGTCGTGACCTCCGACCCCGGCGCCGCCGCGTCGCCGCTCAACCTGCCCGCGGTCGCGAAGTTCCGCTACGAGCCGGCGCGCGAGGACGAGGTGGCGCTCGTGAAGGGAGCGCGCTTGCTCGTGCTCGAGAAGAGCAACGACGGATGGTGGCGCGGGGAATGCGCGGGAAAGGCCGGCTGGTTCCCCAGCAACTACGTGCAGCTGGACGCGGAGGCGGCGACGCCCGGCGACGACGTCGCCGCGACGGCGGCGGCGGGGGAAGGGGGCGCCACCGTGCTGGCGCTATTTGGCTTCACGGCGCGCAATGAGGAGGAGCTGTCGATCGCGCGAGGAGAGACTCTGCACCTCGTTGAGAAACCGCCGGACGACCCTGAGTGGTGGAAGCTGCGCGCCGCCGGTGGCGCCCTCGGCCTCGTGCCGAAGAACTACGTGAAACTGTGCGAGGGCGCCACCGCGGCGGCCGCCGCGGGGGCGCCGCCGGACGCCCGGACTTCGTCGAGCCCCTCCGGTTCGAAGACGCCGCCGAGTCCTGGGGCGCGCGGGCCGCCGTCGCCGGGGGCGCGCGGGGCGAGCGCGAGGCCAGCAGAGGGCGCTGCCGGTGACAGCCGCGCGCAGGTGATGGCCGACAAGGAGTTCTACTACGGCAAGCTGAGCAGAACAGATTGTGATAACCTGCTAGGCACGTTTGGCACGCCGGGCGACTTCCTGGTGAGAGACAGCGAGACACACGTAAGTACACAGCGTGACACCGTATATATAGGTGTAGCTGTAGCTGTAGCTGTAGCTGTAGCTGTAGCTGTAACTGTTACTGTAGCTGTAACTGTTACTGTAGCTGTAACTGTTACTGTAGATGTAGCTGTAGCTGTAGCTGTAGCTGTAGCTGTAACTGATACTGTAGCTGTAACTGTTACTGTAGCTGTAACTGTTACTGTAGATGTAGCTGTATCTGTAGCTGTAGCTGTAACTGTTACTGTAGCTGTTACTGTAGCTGTAACTGTAACTATACTAGCTGTAGCTGTAACTGTAGCTGTAACTGTAGCTGTAGCTGTAGCTGTAACTGTTACTGTAGCTGTTACTGTAGCTGTAACTGTAGCTATACTAGCTGTAGCTGTAGCTGTTACTATAGCTGTTACTGTAGCTGTAGCTGTAGCTGTAACTGTAGCTGTTACTGTAGCTGTTACTGTAGCTATACTAGCTGTAACTGTAGCTATACTAGCTGTAGCTGTAGCTGTTACTATAGCTGTTACTGTAGCTGTAGCCGTAGCTGTTACTGTAGCTGTAACTGTAGCTGTTACTGTAGCTGTTACTATAGCTATACTAGCTGTAGCTGTAGCTGTAACTGTTACTATAGCTGTTACTGTAGCTGTAGCTGTAGCTGTTACTGTAGCTGTTACTGTAGCTGTAGCTGTAGCTGTAACTATAGCTGTAACTGTAGCTGTAGATGTGGCTGTAACTATAGCTGTAACTGTAGCTGTAGATGTAGCTGTTACTATAGCTGTTACTGTAGCTGTAGCTGTAGCTGTTACTGTAGCTGTTACTATAGCTGTTACTGTAGCTGTAGCTGTAGCTGTTACTGTAG